GTAGGCCGGGCTGGGAGAGCACGGTTAACCTCCCTCCCCGTCTTTATCTCTTGGAGAGAGGATGAGGTTGAGCGATAAGTTGGTCGAGTCAGGTTTTAAGTTGGACGGCAAATAGGCGTGCAAGTATGATATGTAAGCCCGAACCGAGCGAACGGTAAAGTGTAGTAAAGCAAAAAGTTTAATGGAACGAGAGGTCGTGGAATCTCACCGCTGGGCAAGATGAGTGATCTGGGGATTAGTCATATTATCATATAATAAAATATGTATATTTTCCGATGCGGGGGGGATATCAACGATTGGACGACCTGAGGCGGTTCTCGGTGGTGGATGGGTGCAGTGAGCCTTCCTCCTCTTTGTCATGGCACAGTGGTACATACGGCAGGAGAGAAAAGTTTTGTCGGTGAGGATTGGCGTTTCCACAGAATGTTTCTCTTGGTGAGCCGAATTACATATCATATTATGATGGAAGGCCGGGAAGGGGGGGGATGGAGAGGGTTAGGGACCGGATCGGTTCGTCAAGTGCCTGCACGGTAAGAAGGCTTGGCTCTCTCGCTCACATCAGTGCGGGCCACACCCGTTGCCGTAGCGTGCTGTTACGGTGCCGGTAGGCTAAACTTTACATTTCGGCCGTAGGATGCGACGACCTCTCTCACTCCCGGTAGATCCGATCCGAGCGGAGCCTTTCAAGCTTCAATTCTTATTGCAGCCAAGTCAGCGGGTGAGTGAGTGAGCGAGCAAGAAGCCGGCGTGGGGGGGCCCCGCTACGGTGCGAGTACCGCGGCGAAAGGGAAGGGTGCAGCTTGGGTGAAAACGAAAACAAGCCAAAACCCTGATGTTGACGAAAACAAGCTATTCCCGCAAGAAGCACAATTAGCCTGGAAATTGTATGCAATCTCCTGGTACGGACACATGATTAGTTCGAGCATTTCCTGGTGTTGCCACATTAGGATGTATTTTTACCAGATCTAAAAATAAACAGTGACAAAGTGCCGTTAAATAGTACGTATGCGGGCATATTTGTGTCATGGGTATATACCGCTTTTGGCTGAAGGGATATATTTAGCTCCCATGTTTTTTTAAACCGCCATAATATCACAGTGCCGATATGATGTGCCAACGGACCGGTACTTCCATCATGCAGTCTATTAAAACCCTTACCCCGCAACCCGATGCGGAAAGCGTGTGGTCCGTGTGCCCTCTCTTGTATGCGAAAATAACCATAATTATCGCTTCTGCCTTGGCGGTGTTAAGTATAGACGGCTGACAGGGGTTCACCCTTTTTATCGCGACCTTCACACACACACATTCCTACCCCCCCCCTCCCCAGCTGGTCGCCGCATCCCTTCTTGGCGATATCTGATGGGATCGTGATGCTTGTCCTGTTGGTTGTTTCTATTTTGCACTCTCACGCACCTACACATATCTCCCCTTGCCATACTGCACCCGTTAACGAAAAAGTTACCTGCATTGCGTACTATGTTCGAGTTAGTGACGAACGACAAGCGAACGAATCTCGTCATGATCCCTCCCGCTAACGAATGTTTCGCCGCCGCGGACCGGGGGAAAACGGATTAACTTGATGCGCTACCAGTATGCGAGTGTGTGTGGCTGCAGGAACGACTGAACGCTTTTATGATATTTTTATTTTTTCTCTCCTTCTCATCTTTTTTTGATCCCCTCCTCCCACGAGTACGGGGCGCGCGTGGGGATATGGATCATGTACGGTCGATCATTCTATTCTTTAATCGTGGTAAGTTTCATGATCGTTCTTTCGGAAAAACTATTCTTCGCCTTCGATGCTTCAGGTTTGTTTTGACTGTGCTCGAATTGGCTTTCGCCCCATTCCGTGAGGCGGTGATGCTAGTTGGCGGCACCGTCTCGCAGGAGGTTTACGGGTTTACGGGTTTTTTGGGTTGTGCGTTGTGTGTTTGGCATACCGGTATTTGTGAAGGGGCGTGGTATGCGCGGTGATGGCCTATGAAGGAGTTTACACTCCGTGCCTTCATGACTTTTTGTATCCAAATGTGAGGATGATTACAGTGCAGTAATAATGATGATGATTACGATATCAATCGTTCTGCGTGCCCTTTCGTCCCACCCGCTTTCACGTCAACGATAAAAATGATGACAGAGAAATAAAAGGCTTTTCTTTTTTTTTGAGATGGGCGGGCGTGCTTCCCAACCTTCCATGCAGCCGCAGGCTCAAACTAAACCTCGATATCGTATCAAAAATATCACCCTCCTCAAAAGCCGCATCCACATGCATTTGAAGCCTCACCATTCCCATATTTATTTTTCCTCCGCAAGCAAGGGGCCGGGCGTCGGATCATCAGAGGAGAGGAGAAGGTGCGGGAGTGTCGAATTCGATGCGATGATGGGCGGACGGATCAGGGATGGTGACGATACAAGCCCAGAGATTTACCGTGGTGCTACACCTCACAAGAATAGAAAGAATACCGGTATGGGTGTGTATCGTGGGGACTTCCAGAGTTACAGAGAGTGGAAAAAAAGAAAAAAGGGTGTTTCTTTTTTCGGAGACGGGGAACGTGAATGGCCAAGGCGAGTGGAGCCTCTTCGGAGAACCAACGGAGAGTGGGGGGGGGGTGTTCTTCGACTCCAAACCGCTTGAGACGGGTTGTCGGTTTTTTTTCTCACCAATGTGTGAATGAATGATATTCTTGTATCTCTTCGATCTAGCAGGGAACTTGTGCCATGTTCCAGCACACGCGAGTAAGGTCAGAGTGCGGATAAGGCAGATACGGGATCGCGTCGTCCATTGGCTGCAGCAGTAACCGTACCGGTACCGGCACATATCATGGCTGTATGGAGCGTGCAGAAGAGTACTCGAGTACGTAGTAGGTGCCGTCCTGGGGTGAGTGACCAGAAACGATTGGTGCTGCTTGATACTCGAGCAGGAACCTCGCTTCGAGTTGCATCATGCACTTGTGGGAACCCTGTTCCAGTTACTCGAGTACTTTGTAAGGGCAAGCTTTCCTCCTATGCTTGACTCGACTTGTGCGGTGGGGGGCAGATCACTTCCAATCCTAGAAACCCATGCAATCTGTGAGTGGACAGGAAAGGCAAGCGGCTTATACAAAAATAACAGAAGAGACCAAAAAAGAAAATAAACCAGGACAGGAAATAGAGGGAAAAAAGCAAAAATGTCATGTCACCCAATCCCACTCCGTTTCTCCTCCTTCTACGAGTACTCCTCCTGCTCCTTCTCAATTCCCTCCCACCCATCTATCCACACACATCTCAAGCCCGAGTATCCCATTTCTCTCCCATTTGATGCTCGGGACCTGATTCGTCGAACCCTCATCACCGCCTTCTGCCACGTGCACGCAATAGTCCCATTTCATCGAAATTGCCGGTTGCCTCGAGCGGTGGAGACGAGAGGATGGGAGAGAACGAGAGGAGCAAGTGCAACACCTCGCTCACCCAGTCAACCAAATCACAGCTCGTAACAGGGTTACCGTAAAAGAAATTCTAAAAGTGGTCGGGGGGGAAGGTTTTACTATAATTTATTTCGTGACATTCAGCGGATGGCGCGGGGGGGGCTCTACTCTACGGTCTATCGGTCGGGTAAATTTTTAATTTTTTTTTAATCTTTTACGAGCTCATTATCGTATTGGTTGATGGGAGATGGGGAGGAGGGCGAGAGGGGGAGGGGGAGAAGTGATGGTGAGGGGGGGTACCTTTTTTTTTCCTTCCCTTTCCCTTCTTCCCTTTCCCTTTCGTTGGTCCACTTACGAGGCAAGCGAAAGGATACTGTACTAGTACTGGTACTGTACTGGTACGGTACCGGTATTGTAGGGATCGCATCTGGTTTGAGGGGAATGGGAGGGGGCAACAGTAGGCAGTAGGCAGTACGGTAGGCGACCAAGGAACAGCCCTGGTGAAAGGGAAAAAGGGAAAAGAGAGGTTACTTGGCCAGCAGCAGCGATATAATTAAACTTCACTGTAATGCTAATGAAGCTCCGAGTGTAATTTCTACGGGTACTGTACCTCAGATTAGAGCATTAAAAGGCCATTTTTACTTTTCCGAGCGGCCCTTTGGGGTACCGATGTAGGAAAGCGGGAGGGAGGGGGGGGGGGGCAGATCGGTGTTTGAGAGGTAACCAATGTTTGGATATCCAATTCGGGGGGGCTCCATTTCTATTCTTTGCCCGCGTGGGTTGATGGACTATGCAGTGCGTGCAGTGCAGAGTGCGGTGTGGTGTGTGTATGATAAGTGAGAATAGGTTAGGGTGAGTTCGATGAGCACTAATACTCAAGTACTCGAGTACACTACTAATTTACCGTGGACTGCACTGAACATTACTGCGTACGGTACTTGTACTCGTACGAGTACATTGAGTAGGCAAAAAGTGTTGTGTCAACAGTGTGAAAGTGGGAGAGTTGGATGTTGAGGTAAAATGTATTTTCTTGTAACTCTTAGGCCCAGTTTTTCTTTTTTTTTCCCATTAATTCTTGGCTCTTTGAAGAGTACCCGTACGGGTATTGCAAATTTGGTTCCTTCCTTCCTTTCTTTTCTTTTCTTTTTTTTTTTTTGAGGCATCAAGACCAAAGAGAGGTGATTCTTTTTTGGGTAACAAACGGTTCTGCAACCCCGACCACCCTCTGCTGTGATTCTCCCAGTTGTGGTGGTGGTGGTGAACAACATTGAAACAACACTACCACCACCCACCCTGCACCCTAATTTTCTCTCTCCTTTTCTTTTTTCACAACCCCTGCGACTCATTCACCACCACCACAACCCCCCGTCCTAATCCCTGGCCACCCGAAAAAGTGAGGGAGGGGAGAGAAGAGGGAGGGGGAGGAAGGCGTGCAGGTGTGTGGGTGGAAAGATGAGTAAAGCAATCACACTGGGGGTCCAAACAACAATTCGACAGTACCGGTACTCGAGTAGGAGCTTCTTCTCCCCGTGCATACAGTACAGTACATAATGAATGCTCCATGCCCCTCCCCGCTGATGATGAGCTCTCCCTATCCACCACACAGAATCCAAATATCCACGGCTACCACGACACTTCTACAAATCGAACCCATCGCCCACCCCCTTTGGCCAACAGGAATTCCATCAATCACAGTCGCACTCAACTATTTGCTTCGGTCCATCGCTCCATCTCCCTACAAACTATTCCACAGGTCAACAAAAAAGTAATTCTGCATCAATCAACATCATCGTCATAGGACGCCGTGCCTTCCTCTCCGCACTCCACTATCATACTACTACTTTCTAGTTAAATAGTCGCTTGCGACATCCAACCGTCAAAATTTCGTCCATCACTTCCTACTCGTCTCCCCTGACAACTGTCACCATGCAGCCGAAAGCGCCAAAAACTGGAAACAAGACTCACCGTCGCTCACGCACAGGTAAACACTTCTTGGTGATGACGCTATCCCCTCGCTTCTTGCTAACGGCCGCAATTTTTTACAAATAGGTTGCTTTACTTGCCGTCTTCGCCGGAAGAAGTGTGATGAGGGAAAGCCTCTCTGCAAAGCGTGCAAGCACCTTGGCCTGAGCTGTGAATACAAGCGTCCCATCTGGTGGGGAAATGTCGACCAGCGCAAGAGGCAGAAGGAGAATATCAAGATGTTGATCAAGAGGACAAAGTTGTCCGAGAAGGTCGCCCAGATCTCACCAATTAGTGCGGATTCCCCCCCCGAACTTTCACGATCTTTACCAACCTCCGATACTCTTTCAGACACTATTGCTCGAAGACGCTCGCTCTCAATGGAGTCTGGTCTCTCGCTTGAGGAGGAGATGGAGAATTACAATGAGCTCGTAAACCCGGAGATCCACCACGGACACATCCATCACCCATACCACCCCTTCCCCCCATTTGAGGTCGATATCATGACAGAGAAGCAAACCTATGTGAACTCGTTCCCCATGCCCATGCGAAGAGCATCTACCAGCACCGCTTCATACACCAGTAGCCACCACATGAGACGGGACTCGGCTGCCAACGTTATGGTTCCAACAGATGGGCTTGCCCAGTTCGAGGCTATGAACGGTCACGTACACCACCACCCAGCTTCTTGCACCAGCACTGAGGAGAGTCTGCCAGCCACCGCCGACTTTGGCCTTTTCGACTACGGCTATGGTCAGCCCGAGGCGCCAATGCCCTACATTCAGGTCGACGAGAGTGACAGGCATCTCCTTAATCACTTTGTAGAGAATGTTCTTCCAATAATCTTCCCCATCCTTGATCTTAATTTGGATGCCAAGCGAGATGTGATTCTCCCTGCTTTGGCCTCTAACGAGTGTTACCGCCACTGCTGCTTGAGCATCGCTGCTCTCCATCTCAAGGTCACTCAAGGGCTTCAGAGCGAATGGATTGACCAGAGCATCACACGCCACAGGTATGCCACCATTTCAGGGCTCTGTGATGCGTTGGCACGGGATCAGGACCATCTACAAATTCTTGAGGCGACTCTTGGGATGGTGCTCTTCCAGGTGAGAATAATATCTGAAAATCATTTGCCTCTGAAAATATGTACTAACGTTTTCGGGTAGTGCTCTGTTGGTTCCCCTGACGACAACCTCCCGGACATCCCATGGCACCAACACTTCCAGGCTGTTACGAGCCTTGTCAACAAGATGAATCTCACCCAATACCTCCAACACATTTCTCAGAACAACCACTCGCCCCCATCGGTTAACATGACTCTCACTGCATGGATTGATATCCTTGGTGCGACCATGCTTGGCCGTGCGCCCCAGTTCGCAGACACCTACCGTGAAAAGCATCTTAGCAATGGGATTAGTGGACTACGAGAACTTATGGGCTGCGACGACAAGGTCATGTATCTCATCTCCGAGATCGCCTGTTTGGAAGCCTTGAAGAATGATGGAATGCTTTCGGATATTGACCTTTGCGATCACGTCAAGTCTCTTGCCCACCAGATCGACCTTACCGAGTCGTCTCTTGACCAGCCAATGCCAACATCGCCCATCATCACGGCGAATGGCCAGATCGATACTAGACAGCTAACCAATGCCACCACTGACGCGTTCCGCTTCGCCGCCCGCATCTATCTTTGTTCGCTCGTGCCCGGCTTTGATCGCCACCAGCCCCAGGTTATGGAGCTCTTGAACAAGCTCACACATTGCCTTGAATCGATTCCCGCAGGGCCCGACGGGTTTGACCGTTCGCTCGTCTGGGTGTACCTTATTGGTGGCTCCGTTGCCACCCCGGGCTCGCTCTTTATGAGATTTTTCAAGAGTAGATGTTCGGCATTGGGAGAAGCCGGGGCTTGTGGAAGTTTTGGACGCATGGCCAGGATTTTGGAGATCCTTTGGGGAAGGAGGGAGAGCGGATGGGAAGGTGGATGGCGTGACGTGATGGAGGCCAACTCGTGGGATTTCCTCCTGATCTGAGTTTCTTGTCTCTATTTACTATATCTTTTCTCATTTGTCATTTTCTTTTGTCACGGCTGGGTCACGGGGTTCAATTGTATGTATCTAGCATTTTGGCGTTTTTGTTTCTTTTCCACCTCTTTTGTTTTCGATTGCGCCGCATTTCTCATTCGTTGGGGTTTGAGCCTGCTTTTTATTTGCTTGTGCTTTTCCTGGGAATACCGGCGTTTGTCATTTTTACCACGATGTTTATGATGAACTGGGCCAGATCAAAGCGGCAGTTCTTCGCTTTTCCTTTTTTTAATGGGCCAGGCAACATTTTCATTGCGCTGGGCGCCACATATGACTTTCTTTTTTTTTTTTTTCTGGGGGAAACATGGGAGTTGCTTCTTTGACATCATTGTAACTTTTTATATTCTTTAGTATATTTATTCTTTTGTTTTCCTCCAGAGATTCATCTTCGTCTTCAGCTTCATACATCGTACGGTATAAGGTTTGATTTTGTTATTTTTGCAAAGGGCAGATTTCCTTTCGTTTTGGCTGGCGGTTGTTTTTTTACTATCGCTTTTTCCTCTCTCCCTGGGTCTTGGGTGGTTCGTTAAGACGGCGTCGCTCGCTTGCTGTTTTGTAGACGGTTTTGGGTTGCTTGGGAAATGTACTGTACAGTACTTGTGTGGATTGTAGTCTAGATATGATATGAGCATGATATGATACCCCTCCCCCTTCCCTTTTTTTTTGGTAGAAAAATAAAATAAGAAATTATATATTTCACGAGCATTGAGGAAGCAGTTTTGATTTGATTTGATTTGGTGCGTGGTTCGCGGTGGGTGTCCTATCCTATCTATTCCATCTTTCTATGGTGGTTAATTTACCTTGGACCGAACGGGAGGACTAAATCTAACTAGTTGCAGTACGGTACTGTACTGGGCAACCCGGGAGTGGGGTTGATCTCGCTATCGTAGTAGATTCGCCTCATTTCACCTATCCAGTTGAAGGTCAGATGTTATTGGGGTGGTGGTTTTATGATACTTGAATTTGGGTGGATGGAACCAGTGAGCGAGTACTCGAGTACTTCGTACCGGTGCTGTGTAGTACCGGACGGGTATAGTACGCATTTATGATATACCCCTTGCCTGGTGGATTGTTCCGGTGTTATGTTGAACAATACAGCACGCACGCACGCACGCAAACTGCCGTACCTACAGTACCCATAGGGATTCCGGCCTATCATCACACTCAGCGACGTTTTGGATGGGACTTCACAGATATGGGATTATTTTTTATGTTTTTATTTTATTTTTGTTTAGTATAATAGGCAACTTATCGCGGTAGGAGGGGGGTCTGACAAGGGGTAGTGAGGTGAGATGACCCCCCTTGGG